CCAGATGGGGCCACACCAATGGGGAGTCCCCAAGTTCTCCCACTCTAATCAGTCAGACTAAAACAAAAGTGGGAACTAGGTTTCCATCCATCCATCCATAAGAGGTCAGGCCAGAAGAGGCCGGGAGCTGCCAGCAGCCTCCCAGAGCGATGACAGCCCACCTGCTAGGACTCTTCACCCTTGGGAGTGCTGCCCACTTGTCCCACCACTCCTGGCGACTGGCATCCAGCAGCTGCTGGCCCGGGACAGGGCACACCCCCCTCACTTCCTTAAAATAGGCGGCATGACTTTCTATAAGTGGTGCCTGCCAAATCCAGCCCCACTGGCTGGGCAGCGCTGGGTCTTCTAGGCACCCATCCAGCCCCACTGCGGCCACCACTGAGTGGGAGACCACCCGTATTTCCCTTCTTCCTTTCACTGCTGCAAGAGGCTCAAGGAAGGGGCCTGGACACTCATGTTGAACTTCACATGACAGAACAATAAAAACAAAGCACATGGTGGTTATGCAGGGCAAGGGGGAGGGAGATCCAGGTGGGATGGGAGCAGGAATGGGCAGGGGATTGGAGTAATAATGAGAACCTCCCAGTAACTGAGCGTCTACTGTGGGCCAGGCCTCCTGCTGGCCCATACCCCAACCACCAGCAGGGCCCTCGGTGGCACTGTGCTCTGGAACAGGTCAGCCCGATTCTAGGCCTCTGCCCCTTCCTCTGCCCCTCACTGCCCCCAGTTCATTCCAAATAGCTAATACTGTTTCTCCCTTAACCTGAGAGCCTGGATTCAGGGTCTGCCCCTTTCATTAATGTTCTATGTGACTTTGTTTGGGTAAATCCTCTCCTCATTCTAGGAGTCAAGGACTCCATTGTCTACTCTCATGGCTCAGTCTATTCCCTCAAAAAGTTCAGACTGTCAGTAATTGACTATATACAAATGAGAAATTAAAGTCACACCTTACAATCAGCAAGATGGCCCAAAGATGGCACTGAAGGTTGAGGCAGTCAGGAGGTTTCCTGGAAGAGGTGGTACTGGAGCTGGCTGAAGACTGAATAGGTGTGGATAAGCTAAGAAGAGATCAGGTGGAAGGCCAATAGGAACAGAAAGGAATACAGCAAGAGGCACTAAGGACTCTAATCTTACAGGAAATAGTCAGGAAGCTGATGGGGAAGACTTCGAATGCTCAAATGCCAGGCAACAGGGTTTAGGCATCGAGGAATTTCTGAGAATGAAGAACACGATGGACACAAAGATCTGCAAGTGCACAAGAATCCTCCCTAGACTGCTAAGGAAACCATCCAGAGAGGGCACAGCTTATCTCACTAGATCCCCAAGACAAGTTCAGGGTCCTCACTAACGCAAATGAGGGAACAGTCCCCAATCCCACCCTCTCTGCAGACGTGGGAACGTCTTAGGCTCAGAGAACCAGAGCAGCGTCCCATGTTACAGATGAATACACTGAGCCCCAGGGCTGAAACCTGAGCTACCCAAAGTTAGACCTCAAGTCCAGGGGCCCACCCACAAGTCATTGCTAAAGAGAGGCTCCCCTTAGACCTGTGAGAGAACTTCCAGTGGGGCTGAATAAGTACCACTATTAGGAACAAGCTGGGGGGAGGGGCAGAGATGGCTGGGCTGGGGGGATGGTCAGATCTTGCTGCAGAGGCCCCTTCAGGCCACAGAGATCGCTCCCCTCTCCTATAACTAAGATTTCTCTGCTTACCGCAGTACTCCTGTTTCAGCTCCGCAGCTCTGTTCAGGCGCTTAGTCCACTGAATATTTCCATGGATGTCTGTCTCCCCTTTCTTCCTCAACTGGGAGCCTCCTGAGGGCTGAGACCACATCTCATTCACCTTTGTGCCCTTTCTCACTGGCCCCAGAACCCAGACCCTGGATGCACCCGCAAAGGTTGATGGAGAAGAGCTCCCGCGAAATAGCTAAGTCGGCAGTTCTCAGGCTTCAGCCTGCATCAGTATCATCCAGGGCTTGTTTAAATGCAGCTTGCTGGGTCCCATCTCCAGTAGAGCTGCAGTGGAGCTCAAGAGTTTGCATTTCTAACAAGAACCCAAGTGATACTGTTGAGGCAGGCCCAGGGACCACACACTGAGAGCCAGTGAGCTAGGTCAGGCCTGCCATTTCCCAGCTGGGGAAGGAGGTGCAAAGATTTGAAAAGCAGCACTAGGCAGTATATCACTATCGTCATCATCACCGCTGTCATTGTCATTATAGCCCTTCTCACATGGCCAGCGCTGTGCCTACACTCCATGTTCTGCATGGTGCCACCTTCTGGCCTTGCCCTAAGAAGATACTATGGTTAGTATTCTCCCAGAGAGGAGAAAGCAAAAGCAGAGTCATCTGTCCAAAGTCACAGAGCTGATAAGAGCTAGCACCAGGATTTGAACCCTGATCGAAGTCCAGACCTGACTCTACACTGCCTACTTACAGCTTCTGCTGCAAGGAATTCTCCAGCAGGTTCATTTCTGGTGTGAGATGAGCTTGCAGTGCCCTCAGTCCTGGTCCCAGGCATCTGGGGAGCCCTGTGTTTAATGAGGGCCTGTCCCTTAAGCCCTATGAACCAAAAATGCTTTGGGGAGAGAGCATTACCTTTCTCACATTGCATCCTTCATCTGGCACTGATAGGGTCTTCCCAGCCAGAGGCCAAATGTTTGTATTAGTTCTTCAGGTCCATGTCCCAGCTTTACCTCCCCACTCAGTGACAAAACACAGTGAAATAACCCCATTCATGTTCCACAGCGACAGTGCGCCAGCCAGGCGTGGGTCTGTGTCCCCATCAGACCTGGCTCTCAAAGGCAGGATCTCATCTGAAACTGTAACTGGGTGGTCCCTAGGAAAGGGGGAAGTTCCAGGTTCCCTGCCCGACCCAAGAAGGAAGGTGGAGCTGAGGAGAGAAAAAAAGGCGAAGAGAAGGAATCTGGGGAGAAGAAGGAAGCAGGATGGAGAGCCAGAAGGAGACCTGAGGAAGCCACATGGAGCAGCAAGCATGTGAGGAAGAAACCGGGCTTGTTTCCTGACCCTGGACTGGTTAAGGCAGATGTGGGTGAGATACCTGTAGGGAGGTGATTATGGCAGTGTTTATACTGATTTTGATTTTGCTCTTTTGCTCCAGACTTGTCTGGCTATTTCTGACCTTTTTCCATGGGTCCCAGCCAGAAGGTGCTTTAGGCTCGTGGCAGCTTTCAGGCCTTGCTTTGGGCCAATCCCTTTTGGGTGGACTTTTGCCCACGAGGGGATGGGTAGCTTCAGGTGTTTGATTTAGAAGTTATATTCTTTGTGTTCTGTAATGTATAGTCACTGTGTTAAAGTCCCTTCTCATTAAAGTTTTATATGTTTGTCTTGTTGCGGCGGATGGCAGAACCCACTTAGAGCAGGCAGGTTTGGGGCTTCCGGGGTGCCCCTCTCTCCCTGTCCTGTAACAGATTTGGTGTCACCCTGTAACAATACCTCCAGGATTGAAGAGCTCTAGTCAACGTAAGGTTTAACAATTTAAGTACTCAAATAACTAGAATGGCCTTGTTATCACCCCATGACCATGGCTCTGAGTCTCCCAGAACAAGGCCGCTTCCCTGGCCTGTGACTGCTTCCAGAAATATAAGAGCACATGTTCTGTCCTCTCTCTAGCCCTGGCGTACTTGTCCAGACTTACTTCTTCTAACCTTCTCAAGCCATGAACAGAGCTTCCCATTATTCCCTCACATATATGGGGTTTCCTTTGCACCTGTTATTCCTTCTCCCTGATGGTCTTACTAACTGCATCCAAGCCCTGTCCCCAATCAAGGCCTAATTCAAGGGCACCACCTCCAGGAAGTCTTCCAGGCTCTTCCTAAATGGGCCATATATCCTCCTCCTCTGTAACCCTACTTCCCACACACTGCATTGCCCCTTATTTTTCACACTGTTTTTTCTCTTAAATTGGGCTATTTCTTCTTCTTGACCCTTCTCTAGAGCCAGGCAACTAGTGATAGGCTTTCCTATCACTAGTTTCCATGCTTACCTCCCATCAAGTGCTTGAGGTCTTGAGCACAGTAGATGCAAAAAAGTCCAGAGAATGAATGAACAATTGAATTCAACAGAACAAGGGAATGTGTGAAGGAATGAATAAAAGTCAATACACATGTAAATGAATGCTCAAAGTAACAAATGAATGCAAGAATGTTTTCATCCTCTCCTCCAAGTTAAAGACTCTTAGTTGCTTCTTGGGGTCCTTGGGCTTGGCCCACAGAACAAAGGAAGTTGTGAGAGAAATGGGGAGGTGAGCAGGAGGGAGGAACAAAGGAAAGGGTACTGATACCAGCAACAAAGGAAGTATAGGTGACCTCAAATGACTTCCAGGCCTGTCCCCCTCAGAACCACAGCACTCTATGGAGGCGAATGCAGGGAGAAGAGCAATGAGAAACGAGTCAAATAGTCCCGAAGAGGAAAGACAGTGTGACCAGTACTGAGCCGTGTACATACCAACAAGTTGTGCACCCAGATTCAGGATGCATGGGCAGATACCGTACCCAGTCCAACCAGCTTGGAACTCCACCCTGTCTATGGGCTCCCCTTTTCACCAAGGCTCTGGGGCCTCCTTGATGGGGTGGGGGTAGGGAGTGCCTGACTTCCTGACTTGGCCCTTGCCAGAGTTGCTCACTGCACCAGCTAGTGCTCCCCTACCCCACCTCTTCCCATGCCCAAGTGAGTCAGCATTGGCTACACCCTCTGGACTCTGAGTGGTGCCCCTAAGCCCTCCCCCAGCCAGTGGCTGCAGCCTGCCGAGTAACCCCAGCCCCTATCCCTGTGAGAGGCCTGCTCAAGCCCCTGGATGCGACATGCCCCTGCCTGCCCAGGCAAGAGCGTGGCTGGCACCACCTGGTTAGTCTGAAGCAGACCCCTCTGCAGAGCAGAACATACCCGCCCTGGTGCAGGGGGAGGCGGGAGGGAGGGCACTAGGCGATCCCAGGGACAGGACAGATAGCAGAGGAGTTGGGGGGGGGGGGCAGCAGGGGGCTTACCCAACTGGCGAGAGGCTCCAACCTCAACAGTTCACATGGCCGAGGCCAGAAGAGCCTGCTGAGGACTTCAGAGAAGGGGTCAGCCGGGGGAGGCTCAGAAACTGGCGTTTGAGGTCCCAGAGCAGCGCCCCGAGGGGAGGCTGCGGGAGCTGGAGGGAGGTGCAGGCCAGCTGGGGCGACTTCCGGAGCAAGCTGCCCCCTCCTCTCCCCTCCCTGGCGCGTGTGGGACGCCGCCCCAAGCTGCTGATCCCGCGGACCACAAAGGACCCGGCACTCTGGCCGGCGCCAGACACTCCACCCCCGGGAGGCCGGCGTCAATCCGGGCGCCGCGGGCAGAGGCGGAAACTCGAGCGGCCTGACCGACGGGGTCGCGGTGCAGTGAGACTGGAGTGAGACTGGGCGCACAGGCTGCCTCCCTGTCGTGGCTAAACCATCCCTCAGTTTTGAAATGCAACTCCAGCTAGCTGTTCACACTTCTACTGAGCACCTACGATATGCTAAACCCTGTGTTGGGTGCTGAGCGAGGGTGTGAGCAGGACACGGTGTCCTGGTTTTCACCCTTATGGGTATAATAGAAAAAAATATACAACGGGCAGTTCAGAAAAGAAATACCATACATGACCTCTTCTCTCTGAGAGTCGCCCTGTGGGCATTTTGGAGTATGCTCCCAGCTAGGTGAGAGCTGAAAGACAGACACCTGAGGGGGATGGAAGCACGGCCATGGCATGCGTGTACCTATGACATATGAAGTGCCATGTGATGTGGTCATAGGTATACAGAAGCTACTAGAAAATTCCCCTCTGCATTCAGATTGAGGATATAGGATCATGGGGAAACTTACATGGAACCTGGCAAAGAATGACTGGTGGTCCCTGAGAGATCTTATTTCATGGGAGGAGGGTTTTTGCATTCCACACCAGGATGGGAGTTAGAAGTCTCTGTGATTCCTCAGGCTGGCGCTTGAACTCCTCCTACCCCTGCCACTCTGGGAAGCAAAGGACAAGTTTGTGAATCAACACAGGTCTCTTGCTGAGTTAGGCCAGCCGGCCCCCTACAACACCCCAGGGCCCGCCTGGGGGGAGCTTTGGTGATATGACAAAGATGGTGTACTTCGCCTGCCACTTCACCTCCATCATGACGCAGCGGACCCTAAGGGTGAGCGTGTCCAGGCTGGAATGATGAGCACCCCTTGTATGCTGTAGCCTGGACAGTGACTTAATGTCCTGGGCTGGACTCACAGCATTAATATAGGGGCCCCTGCGGCCCCAGGGCTCACCAACAGCTGCCATCGCCATGGAAGATCCAGTGCAGGTGAGCAGGTGAGACTCATTCAGGGGCACCCAGAAACACAGGGGACAGGTGGGTTTTGCCTTCAAGGGGAATTCCCACACTGACTGATGACTGGGCTGGCAAAAACCATGGCTTCATTTTTTTTTTTATTTCATTAGAGTTTAGAGTTTAATTTTTTTAATTACTAATATAATAGTTTGTTTTTACATCATTTTGTGCATTTTTCCACCTGAGTTGTAATCCCCTTGGGCTTCCCATCACCAAATCACCCATGTGTCATTACCATAGTCCAGTGCATTTCCCTCCCCCCACTGTTTTTGATCCCATTCCCCACTCTGCTCCCATAAATGTCCCTGGTATATAGCTGTTCCATCACTATCATTATTTTCTCACCTGGTCCATTAATTCCTGCTATGAGTGAAACCATCTGGTATTTTTCCTTTTCTTTCTGGCTTATTTCACTAAGCATGATCTTTTCCAGCTCCATCCATGTTGCTGCAAAAGACATGTGTTTCCTTTTTTGATTGCTGAGTAATATTCCATTGTGTACATGTACCACATCTTTTTAATCCAGTCATCCATTTTTGGGCATTTGGGTTGTTTTCATGTCTTTCCAACTGTAAATAAAGTAGCAATAAACAACCATGGCTTCATTTTAATGAGACAGTGACTCCTGGAGCTATCCAGAATGTCTAAAAAAAGTGACCACATTGAATATATAGTAATATAACCTGATTTTTTCTCAACAATTATCATATCCCCCAAATCTCCAGGTAAACAATAATCTTCATTCTGTCACTCTAGATCTAGAATTCTATATAAATGAATTACATGTATGTAATTCATGTATTCTTTTTCCTTAGTCTGATACTATACAATTATATTTCAATAATATGTATCTTGCATTTATATTATTACACACATCAAAATTTTGACCTATTTATTGCTTATATATAATAATTTTATACACATCTTTATACTTTTATTATACTAAAAATATAATACTAAAAATATAATAATAAGTTGTTACCTGCTATTGATGAGAAGAATGCCAATATGATTATTTGCCAGTTTGGTTATTCATTTACTTATTAATGGGCTATTGGTTATTTCTAGCTACAGACTATCACACAAGTAAATCTGGTATGAGCATTCATGTGCAAATCTATATGTGCACATGAATTCTCTTCCATTTCATTTCTCTTAGGTCAATACCTAGGAGTGGAATGATCAAATCATATGAGAGATGTATGCTTAACTTTTTTGTTAAGTGACAGTTATGTAACCTCTCGTCTTAACATTATTTGTTTCAGGTGTATATCATTATAAGTCAATGTCTGTAGTATCTACTACATCAAATTCACCAATTCTGTCCTTCCCTATGCAATTGACCACTATGACTCCCTTCCCTTTTGGTAATCAATAATTTGGTCTTATAGTCTGTAAGTTTATTCTTGTTTTATCTCATTCACTTATTTGTTTCTCTATGTACCACACCTATGAGTAAAATCATATGTATTTGTCTTTCTTAATCTGATTTCACTAAGCATAAAACCCTCTAGGCCAATAAACCATCCAAGTTATTGCAAATAGCAGGATTTCAGATGATAGATAAATAGATAGATGATAGACAGAAAGATAGATAGATAGGTAGATAGATAGATAGATAGATAGATAGATAGATAGGTAGATAGATAGATAGATAGATAGATAGATAGATAGATAGATAGATAGATAGATAGATAGATAGAGAGCAGAGAAGCATTCCATTGTGTGTATATACCACATCTTCTTTATCCACTCTTCTGTTGATGGACACTTAGGTTGTTTCTGACTATTGGTTATTGTAAATAACGCTGCAGGGAGCATGAGGGTCCATTTATCTCTTTGAACTAATATTTTTGTATACTTTGAGTAAATACCCACAACCAAGATAACTGCATCATATGGAATTTCTATTTTTAGATGTTTGAGGATGCTCCATGCTGCTTTCCATAATGACCGTACATTCCCACCAACAGTATACAAGGGTTTTCTTTCCTCCACATCCTCTCCAAATGTTTAACGTTTTGTTTAACTGCCAACTTTTTCCACAAATGATGCTGATATTGTTTTATCCTTCTACCAGCAGTGTATGAGAATTCTTATTCTTCTACATCCTCACCAGCACTTTGTAAGGTCACTCAGCTCTATCTTAGCCATTTTAGTGGGTTCTTAGTGATATATCATTAAGGACTGAACCTGTATTTTTTTTTTAAAGACTTATTTATTTATGCACACAGAACTGGGATACAGGCCAAAGATGCAGGGGCAGTGAGAGGATTCACAGAGACCGAGCAGGGAGCAGAACAGGCTGACTGATGAAGTACACTGCTGAGGGGAGCAGCAGGAGGGTCTGGAGAGGTCTGCTGCGCCATGTGGGTCACCTCCAGGGTGGGGATCGAACTCATGCTGAAGTGGCTTGAGCTTCTTTTTTTTTTTTTAAGATTTATTTATTCATGCAGAACTGGGGTACAGGCCAGAGGCTCAGGGGTGGTGAGAGGCTTCACCAGAGACAGAGCAGGGAACAGAACAGGCAGATCGATGAAGTATACTGCTGAGGGGAGCAGCGGGCAGGTCAGGAGAGGTCTGCAACACCATGTGGTCACCTCCAGGTCAGGCGGGAATCAAACCCATGCGGAAGTGGCTTCAGCTTCTCAGTGCTGCGCCTTAACCCGCTGCACCACCAGGGAGGGCCCGGATGTGCTTTAACCTGCTGCACCACCACGGAGGACCTCTTTTTTTTTAAGATTTATTTATTTGCATACAGTACTAGGGTTCAGGCCTGAGGTGCAGGGGCCGTGAGACAGAGTAGAGACCAGAACAGGCAGGTCGACGAAGTACACTGCTGAGGGGAGCAGCAGGTGGTTCAGGAGAGGTCTGCTTTCCATGTGGATCACCTCTGGGTCTGGGGATCAAACTCATACTGAAGTGGCTGTGGCTAGCTGTGCTCTAACCTGTTGCACCACCAGGGAAGGCCATAAATAGTTTTTCTTACTACATTTTCTTAGCCCAGAGTCCTTGGTTTACTGAGATAAACATGACTGGGTGCCAGAGGCTCTGTGAAACTTCTGAAACTGTCTGCGCATTTTGCAAAGAATTCTGTATTTGCACTAGATTCTCACAAAGCTGTTGCCAATAGTGCTGAGTGGTCATCTTATGCAGGGGCTGCCCAGAGCACTTTGCAAGCTCTATCACTGCCCATTCAGAGACAAGAACACTAATACTAAGAGAGGTTACATCCTTTGCCTGAAGTCACACAACTAAGAAATTAATAAGTCAGCATTCTAAGCAGGATGACTGACCTCAAAACTATACTTACCTCTGTAATCTGTAACATCTAAAGAAGTGCAGGCTACCTTCTCGAGGTCAGGGCATTTGGCTTTTTGGACTCTTATTTGTTCATCTGTAAAATGAGAGGAGGAGGATTGCCATGCCACTTACCTCTCAGGGTTCTCTGGACAGTCCGCTGAAGCCAGAAGTGGGAAGCGGCTCTGAAGGCTGCAAAGGCAGCATGTGAGGCAGAGACAGCAGCCGGGCAAAGTCTCGTGCCCCTTCCACCCCGCCTGCCACTGCTGCAAGCTTCCCAGGCAGCCTCTTCCCAGGAGGTGGGAGAGACCCAGGTGGACCTGTCCTGCCTAAGAGGCCCCCCTGCTGCAGGCTGGGGGAGGTGGAGACACAGAACCAGGCCTGGCCCATGGGGAAAGTTCTCGTGCATATCTCGTCCATA